GGAATGGATATATTCACATGACAATATTGCTCCAGACCAGGACCTTATACCAACAGACATGAAAACAGCACATGAGAAAGTACTTGGTGTTGTATGGAATGCAATTACAGATAATTTCTACTTCAAAGTCAAGCTTAATGTCACACCCGAAAGCAAAAAACGACACCCCAAACAAAATCAAGGGACGACTACTAATGCTTCCAAGACACTAACGAAGAGGATAATTCTATCACAAGTAAATAGTGTTTATGATCCACTCGGATTAGCGAGTCCTCTGACGGTCAGAACAAAGATTCTCATGAGACGATTGTGGATTAACCACCCAAAATTGGAATGGGATGATCCTATACCCGAAGAAGATCACCAGAATTGGGCTTACTTCTTCCAGGATCTAAGTGAGATGGAAAAAATTAAAGTCAATCGATGCACTAAACCTAAAGAAGCCACGGGAAATCCAATCCTCGTAATATTCAGCGACGGATCTAATGATGCATATGGCGCATGTGCTTATGCTAGATGGAGACTTCTTAATGGAGACAACGAAACCAACCTTATCTTGTCCAAAACCCGCCTCGCACCTACCACGAAACTATCAATCGACTGGATAGAGCTCTGTGGTGCAGTGTTAAATAACAAATTAAAAACCACAATAACAGAACAATGTAGACACCGTTTCGAGAAATGTTATCACATCACTGACTCTCAAATCTTTCACTCCATGATCCAAAAAGAATCCTATGGATTCAATACCTTCACTGCAGTGCGGGTAGGAGAGATCCAAGAGGGAACCAATACGAAAGACTGGTAATGGACCGCAAGCGAATTTAACGTAGCTGATTTGTTAACCAAACGATATCGACATAAACAGTAAATGGAAAAAGGGACCGGACTTCCTTAAGCTACACGAATCTGAAAGGCCAAAAACGAAAACATACCCGGAACGAAAAATCCCCATCAATACGATTAAACTGGAACTATCTTCACCAGTCATCCAGACTAACCCAAAAGACACACTTGCGTCGAGGATAAACATCGAGAAATATTCAAATTACAAAAAATAGCTACGAGTTACAACCCGAATTTTGGCCATGTACAAGAAAGACCTGAAGCCCACATTGAAAAATGCAACACGAACGCTAACAGCAGGTGACATCGACAATGCTGAACGTTTCTGGATTCTTGAATTACAATCTTCGATGTAAAAGGATATCCTATCGGGTAAATACAAGCGGCTATGCCCTCGCAAACGAGATGACGGAATTTACGTTGTTGGGGGACGTGCTAGAGGATGGGTGGAAATGAGTTATAACAAAAGCGAGATCATCTTACTACCATATGGGCATAGATTTTCACGTCTATATGCCGAGCACATACATTGTCGAGGTCATCTGGGAGTGCTATCAACTGCAAGCAAAATACGAGCAAAATTCTGGATCGTCAAATTGCTGAAAATGGTGAAATCCATCAGAACAAACTGTGTAATATCCAAGAAACTGGACAAGAAATTCAACGAACAAATCATGGTAAGACTCCCGATTGAAAGATTAAAACCTGCCCCGGCATAGACCTACACAGCATTAGATCTATTTCGACCATTTCAGATAAAGGATGAAGTTGAAAAACGAACAACTGGAAAGGCATATGGAATTATTTCAACTGCTTCGGTACAAGAGCTGTCCACATAGATATTTCACCAGACTATAGTACCGAAAAATTCTTAATGGTACTCCGCAAACTTGTATCTATAAGAGGCTATCCATCCAAGATCTACTCAGACAATGGTTCCCAATTAGTAGCCGCAAGTGAGGAATTAACGATGATGGTCAAAACTTTAGACCAAACGAGTTTACAGGAGTATGAATGCGTAGAAGGATTTCAATGGGTGCTCTCTTCAGCAGACGCACCTTGGCAAAACGGTGTCTCAGAAGCGTTGATAAAATCAACGAAAAGAGCCATAACAGCAGCCATCGGTGAAAGTATTCTGACATTTTCTGAATTACAAACTGTGTGTTATGAGACTGCAAACTTACTTAATTAGAGACCGATTGGACGACATCCAACTTCCCCGGATGACAAGTACTTGTGCCCTAACGATCTTTTCCTAGGACGATCCACGTCTAAAATACCTAGTGGACCGTTTACATACTCAGCCGATCCACGCCGTCGATTTGAATTCGTTCAAATGGTTACAGACAACTTCTGGAAGAAATGGACAAGAGATTATTTTCCAAGCCTGTTAATACAACAGAAATGACATTCTGCACGTAGAAACTTAAAAGTAGGAGACGTTGTTCTTATCCAGGATTCCAATCTAATCAGAAACCAGTGGAAACTGGGAAAAGTATCAAAGACATTCGAAGGACCGGACGGCAAAATACGGAAGGGTCAAGTACAGTATAAGAAACCAAAACCTGGAGAACTGGTATTGAAATACAACGGAAGAGGATACGTCACAATTAACAAGTTGGTCGTTCTGTTACCCAATGATGAACATAGACTATCGGCATAATAACTTGAGCAACATTCTATTACTGTAAACGAAAATATTAGTTTAACTCGTATTTGGCGGGGGGAGTGTATCGTCATTGATTATAATTTCATATGATTAGGCGCGCATAACGTGACAAACGATAATTGCCTAATTACTGTATCACTGACCAACTGACACAGAAACAACTGCGATAGGACATTATCTGAAGGCCATCGGGTAAATATTCTTTCGTATGAGATATTGTTACAGCAGACTAACATAGCAGTGCGTCACTAGCTTTCCGGCCGACCACTGACAACACTGTCTAGACATGAAGAGCTCACCCATGTGAAGGAATATAAATTTAAACTGGAGGAAGAGCCCAGTCGTACCAACTTTATATAACGCTCTTTGCTCCCCAAAAGTAACGACCCCTCAAACGTAACGATCCCCCGAAAGTAACGACCTTCGTCAAAAGTAACGAGCCCCAAAGGCTACTAACTCCGAAAGTAACGTTCAGAAGTTTACGGTATGTTTAGTAAGTGTAAAAATATGTATACCCTGACATAGACATAAACATAAACATATCCTGCACTTAACTAAGGTAAGAAAATTAGGATAAAATGATGTTGATTTCTTTATTTTCAAACGCTAGTTTTTCTCTATTGGGAATTCTTGCACGTCTGTTGGATTTCTCTAATTGTCACTTTTTGCAGATGTGCTGCCAGGGACGTATCTCACCTAGACCACGGCGGAATGCAGCGTGCTGTGGAACACAAGGGTACAACCAAGATTTGCGCGTAAGTCTTTCAAAAAAGAACCGTTTGTGTTTGTTATGAGGGAATTAGTTTTCACAGATGGCTTCCGCGCTAGTCATTCTGGCGATCATAAGGACGGCTAGCTCAAAAGTTTACAAATAGATTCCATGTTGCCGTGCGTCTGTTTAGTAATAGATCACGATGACGTCACAATACGGTGCGAACAAAAACACGAGCCGTTAGGAGAGTGCGTCACTGATCTTCTTACCACATTTAGACGTCAACTGGGATCTATTACTGAACAGGCGCACGCCAACATGGAATATATGTTTTATATATTAGAGAAACAAAAAAATTCCTAAAGACGTACGTCATCCAAGCGTCTGTCTATTAAAAGTTCTTAGTGAGAACCAATCAAAATGCGATAATATAATGTATTATGTAATGTGCTTTAAAGACTATAAACATTATTAGTATAATTACTCAGGAGGTTATAGAAATTCTCGCGCTTTCATTAGTCGAGAATGGCGTCATATTCCGCTATACTCACCTCCGACTAATTTTCAAAATGGCCGCCTCGCGCTCTGTCGATGTCTCTGAAGAAGAAAGTAATATAATGAAAGAAAATGCTATTCAGAGAAATATTAAACATGCAGCAAAGTTCGAAGTGACGGTTTTCAAAGGTAAGCTGTGAACATTGGGCTAAATATAACAAAGAAAGCTTTTAAATTCCCGTGAAAATGTCGCTTATGTCGATATGCATGAATAATTCAAAACAACTATTAGATTTTCGCAACACTTTATTAGTTAGTTACTTTATTTATCTAACAGAATGGTGTTAACAACAAACCAAATTTACCACTGACTTTGAGACAATTTTAGCCTCTTTTTTTGTCTTTTTCTTAGAGACAGAAGGATTTAAACGTGCGAAAAACACTTACCGTTTTGACCAAGTGATGAACTAAACCAGGTGATTTGTGCGCGTAGTTGCTCATTGACACATGACAATACAAATAAAATTTAACATTTTTCGGTCGATCCTTTGTTTAGGTATAATCACCTGAGTAATTGTACTAAAAAAATTATTCGCATCAGGCTCGTGAATATTGGTGAATATTCACTTTTCCTTCGGCGAATAATTGTTAATTATTTCACATGCGCGCATTAGATATTGGCTTTTATTAATTTCTCAACCTCGGGGTACTGCAATTTTAGCTTTCTGATTGGTTCACTGTATCTCGGTTACCAGCCATTATACTTGCGTTTGACCTTATATGGAAATCAATGCGGCAAATAGCCAAGTTTCGTCGACAAAAAAAAAATGGATGAAAACAGCAGATTCTGTGAGCTATCTACAGACGAAATATAAGAAATTACCGACAACGCCGTTCCAGAAAAAAAAAAACCATAAAAAAAAAAAAACACGAAAAAAAGCCACAAAAAACCCATAAAGTTCGAAATGAGATTATTCGACGGTACGTATCCGTTAAGTTTCCCTTAAAAGTTGCAAAATTTCAAACTCAACGTCGAGATTTTACGCATTCATGAAGATTACGTAACAACAACAATTTTCACCTTAATGTTACTGAATGGCTTGCTAGTCCTGGTGGCACCAAATTTTCGAAACCGATAGAAGAAATGTTAAAAGAAGAAGTGAGTGTTTTTCTGAAGTGCTTTTTGCACGTCTGCCCACAGGGAGCCCGGACATCCCTTTAGAAGATGAATAAAAGATCAAGCTACCTTTATCGCGCGTGCCTTGTGTTTTGTGACGGCCATTTTGAATTTTTAATACGCGCGCGGTCTGCTAGTGCGAGGTTTGGAACCGAAAATACGGAAATCGCTCGGAGCCTGCTCGGAGCTCGGAGAGCGATCGGTCCCTCCCAGAATTTGCGAATTTTCCCGCCCGTCCCGGACTTCTTAAATTTCGGTTCTAGACCTCGCACTAGCAGACCGCGTATTAAAATTCCAAAACGGCCGCCACAAAACACAAAGAAACGCGCGATAAAGGTAGGTTGATCTTTCATTCATACTCTTTACGGATGTAAGGGCTCCCTGTGTCTGCTCGGAAGAAAGATGGCACGTCAGTTTAGCACGTCAGTTTAGCAAGCTGCAATTGATCATTTCCTTCGCTCACCGCCCAACAAACCGTTTTCCATTATCTCTGGCCCCGCTTTAACAGAGGCCAATAGTATTAAAGCATTTGTAATAGACCTCAGGTAGACAGGCAGCATTGCCAACGTAATCCATAAGAAACGAATTTCCAATGAGCAGATGAAAAAACTGTTCGAGAGCGGCGAACTCGGGCCGGGAGAGCACAGCTAAAGAGGACGACCTAGTTTTACCTCGGTCTCTTTTTTGGCCGACGAGGACGAGAAAATCAACGCCAGCTAACGCGAACAATTCTGTCCTTGCGAAAACGCCTCAAGAAGTTAAGTATTTTGACTGTGCTGAACCGATCTTTACCAGCCACGAAAAACCATCAGGGTGGACTGGGAGATTCTGAAGATGAATCCGACGCTAAGATATTTTCTGTCTCTGACTCTGAAATTGGCCAGCAATCAGCTCCACGAATCCAGCTCG